CCATTTCAATCGGTTGATCCGTGCGCCCGAAAACGTGACCAAAAATTGTATCCATACATACATACACACACACATCCATTCTTTCTGTGGTATGCCAAAATGTTCAGAAACCTTCAAAACGTCGAGGTAAACTGGTAACTGGCAATTTAATAACTTATGATGTGTGTTCGTTTTATTAATATTCAGGTTATATAATGGTTATATTCCAATTCCAAAAGATCACTGCCCGGATCTCGGATCAAAACAACTGTGTTTATAAACATGTCCCTAGATCTCTGCATACATACATACATACCAGCGCCACAGTGAATTCGTATCCTATAAGTACCGCGCGCTATACTGTATTTTCATTCAATTTATATAACAGAAATAATTGGTCATAGATTTTCAGTGAGCTTTGTAAACTAACAAAATCACTAAACACCAGCATGACATATTACGAAAAATAAACAACAATACTTAACATTTTAACAGTATCTCCATAAATCAAACGCGCGACTTACACATAATGCACTTTAACTCTAACGGACTTAAAAACAACGTGGACGAACTGAGGCAGACGATAACAAAATACGATCTGGACATAGTACTGATTAACGAGACACACTTAAAATCTACGGACAGACTATATATCAACAATTACAAAGTTTACAGAAACGACAGACAGACGGACGTACGCGGATGGGGCGGCGCTGCGATTTTAATCAAGTCTAATGTCAGACACGAGCAAGTGCTAAACCTGACAGCGGGCGGTTCTGAAATAACAGCTATCAATGTAGAAAAGAGAGGTCAAAAAGTAACCATAATATCGATTTACATCCCGGCAAGCGGACTAGATCATACAAACTTACAAAGACTACTGGACTCTAACAGATTTGTTCTTATGGCAGGAGACTTTAACGCTCAACATACATCTTGGAACTGTAACTTTAACAACGCAAACGGAAACAGACTTTACGAATACCTGACCGAACACAACACCACGGACGCACAACTACACTATCCTGACACGCCGACCAGATACGCAACCGTACAGACGCACCATCACAGCACGATCGATTTGGCCTTGATAAAAAATCTTCACATAACATCCAAACCCATAACTAGAATACTTTTCAACTCTGACCATAACCCTGTTTTTATGGCTATCTCTGACAGACTCGACGTCGACCATACTCCAGAACGCAACATTTTAGATTATTCCAGAGCCAACAGGGCACTTTTTAGAGACATTATTACAGACAATATACGACACACGATACCTATAGAGACCAATACAGACATAGAGGAGGCTGTGACACATCTGACACAGACGATCACGGACACCATCCAACACACAATACCGCTACGACACGCAAATACATCCACATTTGACACACTACCCCAACAAATATTAGTAAAAATTAAATTAAAGAACAAAATGAAGAAACTGTGACAGACTACTAAAGAAACACGTGAACAGACTGACAAAAATTATTTATAATGAGATACGTGAGCACCGGAACGACACTTGGACTAAAAAACTAGAAAAATCAACACTGACCCGCACAAAGTTTGGCAAACGGCCAAAACGCTGACCAGGAAAACAACACCTATCTCGCCACTCAAACTACCTGACAACAACTACCCCACGACACCAACAGACAAAGCAGAAATTTTGGCGACAAACTTTGAAAACATACACAGACAAAACGCCGACATGTCCAACGCAGACTTAAGACGAGAAATACACAATGCTATTCAAATTTTACTGAACAATTTAACGACATAGACTTACGAATAGACCCAGCCACAGTTTCTGAAATAAAATCAACAATCAGAAAACTACCGAACAGGAAAGCACCTGGACCGTAAGGACTACAAAATATTATACTGAAACAACTACCAACAAACGCATACATACTGATTACACGATTGGTTAACCGAATAATGGCCAAAGGCCACTTTCCTGCTTTATGGAAAACATTAACCGTATTTCCTATCCTGAAACCAAGGAAACAGCCAGAGTCTCCACAAAATTACAGACCAATCAGCCTCCTCAATACAATGAGCAAAGTAACTGAAAAGATACCTATCAAATGCATCAACAGACACATTAAACAAAATAAGATTATACCAGACACACAGTACGGCTTTAAGGAACAGCGCTCTACGTTATATCCACTCACACAACTAATAGAAAAGACTGTACTCAACTTCAATAGACGAAACCATACCGGATTGGTGTTGCTAGATTCCGAGAAGGCCTTTGACACCATCTGGATGGACGGACTGATACATAAATTCATAACTCGTAACTTTCCACCGTAAATCACAAAGCTACTCCATTCTTACCTCACAGACCGTAATTTTACAGTACAAGTAGACAACACACCCTCGACGATTAAACAAATGACGGCGGGAGTACCGCAGGGCTCGATCATGGGACCGCACTGTTTAACGTCTACATTCACGACATACCCACTGACGCCGACACAACGTTACTGACGTTTGCTGACGACACTGCTATATACAAATCATCACGATCACCTACGCTACTGACTACAAAGATACAGGCACACATAGACAAGCTAACAGAATATACTGACAAATGGCAGATCAGGATCAATCCGCAAAAGACGGAGGCAATTTTATTTACAAAGAGCCGAAATGCCACGACTAGACTGACTGACTTGGACAAAATTAAAGTATTGGACTGTGAAGTTGAGTGGTCCAAGGATGTCAATTACTTTGGTGTGACCCTGGACCATAGGCTCAGCTTCACGAAACATATTAATACGAAAATTGGACAGTCTTGCGGGATGTTAATTAAATCTACTGAGACCTCTCTTGAACCACAACAGCCCGCTAAGCGTGAAGAACAAGTGGACACTTTACTTGACACTTATAAGACGGTTACTGACATACTTCGCTCCAGCATGGAACGCTACGACTAAGACTAACTTACGGAAACTACAGACATTACAAAATAAGACACTACGACTAGTACTTAACAAAATAAGAGACCCACTGACTAGACATTACTACTCTTCAAAATACATACACAAACAGACTGACGTACCGATAATACTCGACTATATAAAAAAGCTCGCCAAAAATTTTTATCTAAAATGTGGGGATCATTCTAATAGTAACATCGCAGGCCTCAGCCAATACTATATACTGATCGACCCATAGCGGCTAAATAAGGAGCATATTATTTATGTGACTCCTCTCTCTTAAGAGGAGTTAACAAAACATATAATTATTAATAATAAAGAAATTGTATTTTTTGGGAGAAAGTTTATTTTTCTCTTTTTTAGTACACACATACAATCATATTGTATACATATTGTAATCAATACCTATCATATATACTAAAATCATATATGTAATATAAAATACCCACGGGTAGAAAAGTATGTACAAAAAGCAACAATGAAAAATGTATTTTAAATATCGAAATAAATACTTTTGTCTTGTCTTGTCTTGTCATTGGTCATAGATGAAAAGGTAGAAACAAATGATTCTCTCATTACTACGATATTCTAGGTATATTGAAACAATGCAAATAAGTGAAAAAAATAGTGGTCATTTCAAACCCAATTTATTTGGGTTCAAAACTTAAAAACATATACCGTAACAGAATTCTGTAGTCATTACGAAACTTATTAACACCAGAAACATTGCCGTATTTAAGCAAACTTGAAAATAAATGGCAAAAATATTTCAAGTCTACTTTTCGAAATTGCGGGATACTCACGGAATTATGTTCACTGGCCCAGTTGTGTGAACCTATACGGGAGTCATGAAATTGACAATTTTTTGACAAATATATGCTCGATTTAACTATAAAACTAATCTCTTATTAATACTGATCAATAACTTCACAAATTTGAATCGATTAAGCTTATCGGAATCGAATAAAACCTTAAGCAATGGAACCATCTCATTAACCTAACTAGCTAACAAGCCAGTACAGAATGGTGATCGGGTCATGACAGATGCGCTCAAAAGCTTTTTACTGCTTTAAAAACTAATATTTAAATTGGAAAATCGTGCTATTTTGTTAGGATTCAAATTATGATTGATTTTTCAAAAAAAAAATCGATTTTACCAAAAACGGATACCATTTTTGAAATTAGCGTCCCAAACATCAATTTTTTGATAAAAGTTCAAAATTGCAACCAGATTTTGTTCTTTTGCTGTGGTAGGCGCCCTGAAAGCTCACCATATAAGATAATTCCGTCCTTTTCTTCAAAAAGACTTTTTCCAATTTGTTGTCGATCATAAATTATCCTAAATTAATTATCATAAATTTAATTACATTTGAAATAAAAGTGTAAGTTTAAATATATTTAAAAAAAATCCGTTGATAGTAAATCCATGGTTTTAACTTGATATCATTTTCAAATCGAGAAAATGTATTTAAAAAAAACGTGAATAGTTAATCCATGATTTTAACTTGATATCATTTTCAAATTGAGTAAAATGTATTTAGGAAAAATTCCGTGCATAGTAATCCGTGGTTTTAAATAATCATTTTCAAATTGAATAAAATAAATTTAGGAAAAAATCCGTGGTTTTAACTTGATATCATTTTCAAATTGAGTAAAATGAATTTAAAGGAACCATAAATAGTTTTAACTTGATATTTTCAATTTGAGTAAATTGTGTCCTTAAAAAAGCGGTTTATGATTTTAAATAAATTGAGTAAAATAAGTTTCCAAAAAACGGTTTTAACTTGATGTTTTATAATATATATTCTAATTGAAAATAAGCCCATCCCGGGCACTACAATGTAAAATGGAAATTGTAAAAACGCTCTCATTACTTCTCCCTGAATCTGGTTGGAGTTTAACTCTGCTCACAGACCTGCCCCAGGGCAGTTCTACCAATTATTTTATTATAGAGTTCAAAATACAACATTTAAAAAAATAGCAAATTTTTTGATACGGTTTGATGGAGTTATAATTCCACATATGAAAATCACAATATCACGTAGTTATAAATTATGATACATTACATTTCAATTTTCCTGCGGCATTTTCCTTTTGCAACACAGCTCGAACTGCCTTTTCAAAAACAATATTCACATTCGTATATTCAAGTGCTGAACATTCTACAAAATCACTTGATCGAATCTTTTGGTGCATTGCTTGACCTTCTTCAAATGTCACCAAACCATGGGTATTAGTTTTTCTCAAATCGATTTTAGTTGCTGCAAGAAATACAATCGTTAATTTAACTGACGGGAGCACACATAAGATTGTTTCACCTACCTATTATGATAATTGGCGCCTTTGGTGAATACTGCCGAATTTCTGGATACCATTTTGAATGCACATGGTCCAAACTATCGCGGCTATCAATTGAGTAACACAGCAGAAAACAATCAGTCTGTAATTTTGTAATACAGTTTGTCATATCAATAATGTTTACATCGATAGATATGTATATTTAACTATCTTTATCATTTATTATTTGCCATAATCTAGGAAAATTTTAATCCTTTGCGCAAAAAAAAATTCATAAAAATTGTGGAAAAAAAATTTTAAGAGTTTATTACAAGAAAACGGCCCAGCGGATCTTTGCCAAAAACTAATCAGGTCGATTCCCAACCAATAGCTTTCGAACAGTTTTTGAATTTTCAAAATCGATTCAGAATTGCGGGTTAAAACGTGCACGAAAATTTTTACACTTTTCTGCGATTTACAAATAAGCGGCTCGGCCGATCGTTGCACAAAATTGAGAGTCACTAGTCCTACTCGAGATATCAAATGGCTTTTAAATTTTTGAAATCGGTCCAGTCGTTTTTCACAAGACCTCGATTTACGGCAAAAAATCTGTTCACACACACACATACTTTTTCCAAATTTAGTCTCATTCGATTCAGAATGGGTTAAAACTTCATAAAGTTAGCGAAATCGGATTTTTTTATGACAACATTAACTTCTCCTTCGGGAAGTTAATAAAAAATATTGTATATTCTTACATTTGGATAAGAAAGAGGCCGCAACCTATCATAATCATCCTGACCTGCTGTTTCCCAAACATTCAACATGTGTGTGCATCCGTCTACTAATACATTAGTTGTGTAATGTTCAAAACTAAAATCAATATATAAATGAAAAACTTATAATAACGAGAGTCATTACCAATATTCAGATTTAACTCACACTGTAGGTAAAAATCCATAAGGAAAAATTCCTTCGATGTAAGTTTTCAGTAAGCTTGTCTTCCCAACAATGTTGTCTCCAACTGCAGTAACTCCAATAGATTTCTGTTGTTCTTCTGCCATTTGTAACGGTAATGTATTCTAATGAAATTGCTTCAGTAATCGTGAAAATCTTCCACAAAGAACTTCTAGTTCAGTAACATTGACATATGAAGATGTATAAAGACAAAATAATAACGAATACAAAATTTACTTCAGACCCTGTAATAAATTTTGAGAAATTGAATTATGATCAATTACAAGCTTTGGATACGTTATCAGCATTGAACAGATATCTTTGATAAGGCAGACTGCAGAATTCATTTTTAAATGATAAAATATTGATGGTATTTAGTATACTCTGGAAAAGATATTTCAAATTATTACTTAAGAACAAATTTTAAAATAAATAAATTATAATTATTGAATATTAATCATATATTAAATTGTTAATTAAACAAACGCAATTTAATCTACGTTTGCTTTAAAACTCAAGAAAAATAAAATGACATGATGTAAAGTATTGGAGCCAGTGGTGGCGATGTCGGTTAGAACGTGGGCTATTAGACGTAAGAGCTAATATAAAACCCCACGCGATGGGTTGCCTCTCATAAAATACGTTAGGTTTTAAGTCTTCAACAAACAGCTTATAGAACATGTAAAGTAAGAGTTATGATTTGTGTTAAAACAATAACTAGTGGGGCGCATGGCATCGTGCCTTAAGGCAAATTGCTGGAACTTCCCGTACCAAAAATTATTTTTTTTTTTTTTAAATTAACATTTATAAATTTTTGACAAAAATTTACTTTTTTTGAAAAAAAAAGACTTTTTGAAGGAAAATTTATTTTGAAATATTTTGGAAGATCTGAACTTGTTTTTCAAAGCAATCGTACTGCTTTAACTGCATAGAGACAAAATATAAAGCGCGTAAGCGCGGCGTCGCTGTCTAACGGGTAAACATTGGTACGGAACCCATAGGAAAATGAACAAAATATATACTTATTGTTAAAATCTCTATAAAATATCTGATAATTTGATGTACATATGTCTAATGATCATTTTTGACCGCCAAATGGCATTTTTTTTTATTTACGAACTAAAAACTAAAACATTTTACTTGTATTGACAAGATGAAGAACCCATCAAATTTTCATAAAAGCAGGTCTAGCGGTTTCGGAGATCTAATGAAAAAAGTAAAAAACAATGCCACTTGGCGGTCAAAAATGATTATTAGACATATGCACATCAAATTATCAGATATTTTATAGAGATTTTAACATTAAGTATAAATTTTATTTGCATTCCTATCGGTGCCGTACCAATGTTTATTCGTTAGACGGCGACGCGGCGCTTACGTGCTTTGACATTTTGTCTCTATGCAGTTCAAGCAGTACGATTGCATGTTTTTTAAACCATTCAAATCGGTTGATCCGTGCGCCCGAAAACGCGGACGAAAAAATGGGGACACACAAAACACGCACACACAACCATTTTTTCTGAGGTATACCAGTAAAATGTTCAGAAACCTTCAAAACGTGAAGATATGCGAAAATTTTTATTTTCGATTTTCGGCCCATTACTATAACTACTCTACGGGAAGTTAAAAATGACCCAGGCTAAGCACAGTCTAAGCGCCACTTTGGTACAAATGTTTATCCAAGTGCGTTTAGAGTTATTTATGTACTGGAGCACTTTTCCAATTTTGTGAAAAAAAACTATTGAAAATTGTGAAAATGTCGTCAAGCTAAGCACAGTATAATTGAAAATGTCGCACATTATTTGCAAATGCGTTTAGACTGTGACTGTACGGGAGCACTTTTTCAATTTTGTGTAAGTTAGGAAACTATTTGTATTATGTGTAGAATTCGAAATGAAATGACTTATGTTCTGGAGATAAATTGATTGACTTATGATTTACATTTGATTTTCAATTCAATTCAAAGACTATATATTTCAATATATAAAAGTATGTACATTGCATATTATAACATGGGTTTATTACCCGTAGGTATTGTATCCTTCATTGGATTTGGTTTTTCAAACAATAATTAAAGTATATGTAAAACTTTTTGACAAATCGTGTGGCAAAAAAGAGGAAAGAAACTTTTTCCCCCAAAAAAACCACAAAGCAATATTTATAATAATAGTTAATTATACAATTAAAAAGAAAAACAAAAATAAAAGATTTATTCTCATCCAAGTATCAATTACCGCTATGGGTCGATCAGTATATATTTTGGCATGGCGTGATTGCCATACCAAATATCGTCTCTTGTGTATTGGCCGAGGCCCGCGATGTTAACATTAGGATGATCCCCACATTTTAGATAAAAATTCTCAGTGAGCTTTTTTATAAAGTCTAGTATGGTTGGTAAGTCAGTCTGTTTGTGTATGTATTTTGAAGAGTAGTAATGTCTAGTCAGTGGGTTCCTTATTTTGTTGAGTACGAGTCGTAGTGTCTTATTTTGTAATGTCTGTAGTTTTCGTAAGTTAGTCTTAGTCGTCGCGTTCCATGCCGGAGCGGCGTATGTCAGTATCGGTCTTATTAGTGTCAAGTAAAGTGTTCGCTTGTTCTTCACGCTTAGCGGGCTGTTCTGGTTCAAGAGAGGTCTCAGTAGATTCAACATCCCGTAAGCCTGTCCAATTTTTGTATTAATATGTTTTGTGAAGCTGAGTCTATGGTCCAGGGTCACACCAAGATATTTGACATCCTTCGACCACTCAACTTCACAGTCCAATACTTTAATTTTGTCCAAGTCAGTCAGTCTAGTCATGGCATTTTGGCTCTTTGTAAATAAAATTGCCTCCGTCTTTTGCGGATTGATTTTAATCTGCCATTTGTCAGTATATTTCATCAGCTTGTCTATGTGTGTCTGTATCTTTGTAGTCAGTAGCGTCGGTGATCGTGATGATTTGTATATGGCAGTGTCGTCAGCAAACGTCAGTAACGTTGTGTCGGCGTCAGTGGGTATGTCGTGAATGTAGACGTTAAACAAGGATGGTCCCAGGATCGAGCCCTGCGGTACTCCCGCCGTCACTTGTTTAACCGTCGAAAGTCCGTTGTCTACTTGTACAGTGAAGTTACGGTCTGAAAGGTATGAGAGTAAAGTTCTCGTTATGTACGGTGGAAAGTTGAGTTGGATAAGTTTATGTACAAGTCCGTCCATCCAGATGGTGTCAAATGCCTTCTCAAAGTCGAGTAACACCAATCCGGTATGGTTTCGTCTGTTGAAGTTGAGTACTGTATTTTCTATGAGTTTTGTCAGTGGGTGTAGTGTAGAGTGTCGTTCTTTGAATCCGTATTGTGTGTCAGGTATAATTTTGTTGTGTCTTATGTGTTTGTTAAGTCTTTTGAGTAGTACCTTTTCGGCTACCTTACTCATTGTGTTGAGGAGGCTGATCGGTCTGTAGTTCTGTGGTATGTCTGGCTGTTTCCTTGGCTTCACTATTGGAAATATGATGGAGGTTTTCCAAGAAGCGGGAAAGCAGCCTTTTGTCATTAGTCTATTTATTATGCGCGTAAGTAAAATGTAGGCGTTCGTCGGCAGTTGTTTAAGTATTATGTTTTGTAGTCCGTCCGGTCCTGGTGCTTTTCTGTTCGGTAATTTTTTAACTATTGTCTTTATTTCGGAAACTGTGGCAGGGTCTATTCGTAAGTCTTTGTCCCTGTGGAGGTCAGTGAAGTCTTGAATTGTCTCGTGTACGTCTTGTTTCAGGTCTGCGTTTGACATATTGGCATTTTGTTTATGTATGTTTTCAAAGTTTTTTGCCAATATTTCCGCCTTGTCTGCTGGTGTCGTTGCGTAATTATTGTCAGTTAATTTGAGTGGAGGTATGGATGTTGGTTTTTGCGTCAGTCTTTTTGCTGTCTGCCAAATTGTGTGTGGGTCAGTATTTATGTTCTCGAGTCTTTTGGTCCAAGTGCTGTTTCGGTGGTCACGTATTTCGTTGGAAATAATTTTTGTCAGTCTGTTAACATGTTCCTTGAGTAGTCTGTCACCGGTACGTTGCCACAGTTTCTTTGTATGATTTTTAAGTTGTATTTTCAATCAAATATGTTCTGGCAAGTCGTTGGCTGGTGTTGTTCTTGAGTCTAGTGTCGGTATAGTCTGTTGTACGGCGTCTGTGATTGTCAGTGTAAGGTGTGTTACAGCCTCCTCAATGTCAGTGTTGGTATCGATTGGCATAGTGTGTCGTGTGTTGTCTGTGATGATGTCTCTGAAAATTGGCCAGTTGGCTCTGGTGTAATCTAAAAATTTGCGTTTGGGAGTCTGGTCGACGTCTAGTCTGTCTGAAATGGTCATGAAAACTGGATTATGGTCGGAGTTGAAAAGTGTTCTTGTTATGGGTTCGGATGTTACGTGTAGATTTTTTGTCAATGCCAAATCGATCGTACTGTGGTGGTGCGTCTGTACGGTGGCGTATCTGGTCGGCGTGTCAGGATAATGTAGTTGTGCGTCTGTGGTGTTGTGTTCGGTCAGGTATTCGTAAAGTCTGTTTCCGTTCGCGTTGTTGAAGTTACAGTTCCAAGATGTGTGTTGTGCGTTAAAGTCTCCTGCCATAAGTACAAATCTGTTCGAGTCCAGTAGTCTTTGTAAGTCCGTATGTTCTAGTCTGCTTGCCGGGATGTAAATCGATATTATGGTTACTTTTTGACCTCTCTTGTATACATTAATAGCTGTTATTTCAGAACTGCCCGCTGTCAGGTTTGGCACTTGCTCGTGTCTGATGTTAGACTTAATCAAAATCGCAGTGCCGCCCCATCCGCGTGCGTCCGTCTGTCTGTCGTTTCTGTAAACTTTGTAATTGTTCATATAGAGTCTGTCCGTAGGTTTGAAGTGTGTCTCGTTATCGTACTATGTCCAGATCGTATTTTGTTATCGTCTGTCTCAGTTCGTCAATGTTGTTTTTAAGTCCATTAGAATTGAAATGCATTATTTGTAAGTCTTGCGATTGGTTTATTGTGATGATGTAAGAAAGTTCAAAATTGTTGTGTATTTGTCGTTATAAGTCATGTTTGTGTTTAGTGTTTTTGTCAGTTTTATATCACACTGAAAATTTGCTTTACCTGGGGATCCGCAAATAGCTTCCTGATCTCGCCCATAGCAGTAAAGAGTCCTTCCGGAGTGTTGAGATCTGGATCTGGCTGGTTGGTTGTAAACTCGACCATTGATGGTGTTGGCCGGATCGGTGCTGGTCTTGGTGATGGTGAAGGCCAGGCCGGTGATAGTGTGGACTGCAGCGGAGGTCGGTATGATGTCCGTGGGACAGAGAGTTGAGGATAATCAGGTTTGAAGTTAGGGCCGGTGTTTGTCGGATTTAGAGCTGACGAGAAACTTCTTGTCAGTGGCATTGGTGTTGGAGCTGGCGCATATACTTTTCTTCTCTTAAGAGTATCGTTTTCCTTCTTCTCAATGAAATTAAGGAGTGCGGAGCACTGAGAATAGTTCGCCGGGTGTTCTTTCTTACAATTGACACACATCGGTGCCTCGGTTAGTAGTTTCTTGCACGCACCTGGCGCGTGCATCTCGAGGCACTTTATACACCTGTACTTCATATCGCAGGTGTACGATGTGTGTCCAAAATTCAAACAGTTGTGACACTGTAGAGCCCTATTTTGTGACCTGTATGTCTCCCAAGAGAAGATGTGCCCTCCAATGTTACTAATTTGCTTCAGCTCCGACATGTCTTGATCTTTCTCCAGAGAGACAATTTATATGGGCAGCTTATGTTGGCTGCCATCCGATAACTTTCGTTTGATCTGTATCACTTGTCTGACTTTAACTCCTTTCAATAAGAGGTCTTCGCAAACTTCAGCTTCGGGTATCGAAGGATGAAGTCCAGTCATTGTAATTTTCTTCGGCAAATCTTTTCTCATCGAGTATGTGTAGAATTGGTAATGGCATTCTCTCAATACCTTTTTAACTTGCTCGTGTTCCTGGATTGTATCTGTAAAAATTTTGTGTAATTGCGTGTTGAAAAACTGATATCTAAATTGGATCTTAGTTATGTCTCTGATGTACTTTATTGTTTTCAATTCTAAGTTTGCCTTGATGATGATGGGTGGTATTTTCTCAGGTGTTTTGCTTAACTTGTTCGGTGATTCTCGATTGCCAGACTCGGATGGCTGCTGTCCAACATTTCCCTCTGGTTCCTTCTTCTTAGCTCTCTTTCTCCGTGACACTTTTCTATATTCGTTCAACTCCCTGTCTGTATCCATGTCCGATCGGTCCGATAGTGCATTGAATTTGTTTTTGAGGGCACCGCTGGTCTGTACCTCCATGCTCATTTTGATCTTCTTCCCAGGCTTCTGCCTGGGAATATCTTGGGCTCTTCAATATACTCGGCACTGATTTTAAGAAAATAAATCAAAAGTACTTAAAACAAATAAATTTAGAAAAATCACTTTCTAAAATGCGCTTATCCTCTAACCATTACCAACACCGACCCAGTGTTTGGAAAGAGGAGTCAGCAAAAGGCACGTTCACCTTTAAAATTTAGAACACTGAACAAGGTGTATATTACCTTGTTAGTATTAAGCCCGGTGCCTTTAAAAAGGCAAGATTTAGAATCAATTCCGGACTTATTACTTATTTCACAAAATCTATTGACACTTCACTCTCTTCTACATTTGATTTGCTCAGATATAACAAGATAATGCAAAAATAATGCAAGTTACAGTATTTCTAATAATATATTTGAAAAGGTTTAAAATTTCTCGAATATTTCATTACGGTACGGGAAGTTCCAGCAATTTGCCTTAAGGCACGATGCCATGCGCCCCACTTTTTCATCAATTTTAGAATATAAATAGTTTATTACATCAATTGTGTTACAGTCTTTTTTACAATCTGTCCACACTGTTATAACGAGTATAGTCATGTTAGCCGGCGTGTAAAATACCGTCAACTTCGCTATACGAAACAACCTAATGTTCTTTCTTTATGTTTTCTATGATAAGTTTATTATTACCGGGACAGCGCGTACGCAGTCCCGACTACCAAAAATTACGCGCCCGAGTTATCCACATTAGGGACAATCGCAGGGGTCAGCCCAACCGAGGTGCAATGGAAGGGCCTCGCCCTGGGGGAACCGCCTTGCTGATCACGGTAGCCCCCACGCCAGGTAAGTATGCTCTACGGTCGAAAAATTGTCGACTAACCGAGAACGGTCTATGTTTCACAACGTGCAGATAGTCGCTTGCCGAGCGTGAGCTACGCGCAGACATCTGTTAGTACGTACTACGTAACATAACACTGTGGAGCGGTTCTACGATACAAGAATATAAGCGGGGCGCAAGGCATCGTGCATTAAGGCAAATTGATGGAACTTCCCTACCAAAAATTATTATTTTTTTTAAAAACAATTAACATTTTTAAAGAAAAAAAATGTTTTCTTCATTTTGACATATTTTCGAAATTCTGAACCTTTTAACTTCCCTTAGGGCAAATTATAGTAATCGCAAAAAAATCGAAAATGAAAATTTTTATATATCTTTACGTTTCAGAGGTTTCTGAATGTGTAGGTGTGTATGTGTGTGCGTATGTATGTGTGTGCGGATACAAATTTTCGTCGGCGATTTCGGGAACACCGATCAACCGATTTGAATAATTCAAAGAACATTCGATTCGATTTGATAAGGAAACGTGCTGACTAGTTTTTGGTGAAGGCAGGTCTAGCCGTTCCGAAGATACGGGGGCAAAAAGTGCCGAAAACGGTAACTCAGTTTTTAAGAGAACGGAGCATCCGATTTGAATAATTCAAAAAACATTTTATTTGTATTGATTAAATGAAGAAGTGTCCAAATGTTTGAAAAGGCAGGTCCAACGACTTTGGAGATATGGAGGAAAAAGTAAAAAAATGAGCCATTTGGCGGTCAAAAATGAACATTAGACATATGCATATCAAATTATCAGATATTTAATAGAGATTTTTAATAATAAGAATAAATTTTGTTTACATTCCTTTGGGTTCCGTACCAATGTTTACGCGTTAGACGGCGACGCGGCGCTTACGCGCTTCAATATTTCGTCTTTATGCAGTTCAAGCAGTACGATTGCTTTGAAAAAAAGTTAAGAATTTCCAAAATATGTCAAAATAAAGAAAACATTTTTTTTTTTCAAAAAAATTTTGTTTTCAAAAAAAAATTTTTTTTTTCAAAAAAAAAGTAATTTTTTGTCAAATTTATAGTTTCTCAAAAATCTAATTTTTTGGAAGTAATTTTTTTTCAAAAATGTTAATCGTTTTTAAAAAAATAATAATTTTTCGTACGGGAAGTTTCAGCAATTTGCCTTAAGGCACGATGCCTTAATTGCCTTAAGACAGAATTCCACTTACAGCTAGTTTTTAAAGCAATCATACTGCTTTAACTGCATAAAGACAAAATGTCAAAGCGCGTAAGCGCCGCGCCGTCGTCTAACGGATAAACATTGGTACGGAACCCATAGGAATATAATCAAAATTTATACTTATTGTTAAAATCTCTATAAAATATTTGATAATTTGATGTGCATATGTCTAATGATCATTTTTGACCGCAAGGTGGCATTTTTTTTACTTTTTTTAGTAGATCTCCGAAACCGCTGGACCTGCCTTCATGAAAATAACAAGTTCTTCATCTTGTTAATACAAGTAAAATGTTTGTTGAATTATTCAAATCGGACGCTCCGTTCTCTTAAAAACTGAGTTACCGTTTTTGGCACTTTTTGCCCGGTATCTTTCGAACGGCTAGACCTGCCTCCGCCAAAAACTAATCAGCACGTCTCCTTATCAATACAAATCTAATGTTTTTTAAATTATTCAAATCGGTTGATCGGTGTTCTCAAAATCGTCGACGAAAATTTGTATCCGCACTCACACACACTACACAGCATTAAGCGTGTTTATTCACGACTAAAACATTGATTTTCTAAATTTATCACACAAAAAATCATCGTCAGCCTTTGTCCATCGTCACGTGTTGAAAATTGAAGTCTTTTAAAAGGTATAACAAATTCAGAAAGAATTAATATATAGCTTTTGCGGTAAAGGTACAATAGCACCTTGGACTTTTCTACCTAAAATAATTGCTTCAATAATGTTGCCTATTATTTTTATAATTTCGTATCATATTTTAACTGGCTTTCAGTAATTTTAATATCTAAATTACATTTTTCTCACCAATAATTCAATGTACATTATCATTAAATGATAATGTATATTGTAATGATAAGAACTAATTAGAAGAGACAAATGTTTGATAATGTTTTTCAAAAAAGAAATTACTTTTCAAGTTACTGGATACAGAAAGTTTGTTTTTTTGGCGTTTTTCATCGTTTTTTGCGAATATTTCTAAAAATATACATTTTAACGAAAATCATGTAATGAACAAAATTATATCAATTAAAATTTTAATAAATCGGTGTTTTATAAAGTGTTCTAGGAACAGTATTAGGCTAGATATGAAAATGGGATTTTATAGTGCACAAAATAAGCTTTAAAATTAGTACTGCTGCATGTAAAATGAGTGAGCTATCATGCAGATTAAAGACGCTTGCAATGTTTTTTTTCATTTAAATCAAATAGTTTATGAGTGAGTTTATGAACTTAAGATAAATTTTGGCCTATTTCCGACACACGTTTTTTTACCTCTCCATTTATTTACTGCAATAATTTTGTTGGTCGTAGGTTGAAAAGAGCACATGTGAACAGAATTTGACAAATTAATTCACTTCGAACATGAACATAAATTTTATGTGTAATATAAAGTATCACCATGTGATTATGACAGTAATTTAATATAAATTCCGGAGATAACTGGATTTATTGAGGCGTAAAAAAAACGTAATTTGGGAAACTTTTCTTTAGCACAATAATTTTATCATAGTTATTTTTTTGAACCGATTTTGGTCGAAAGGTAAAGACTCAATTAAAGCCCGTAACTATTATACTTCATAATAACATTTTAATTCCTAATATTTCAAAGAAGTGATCAATTATAGTCCAAGAGCCAGGTGCAAATTTGGTTAATTATTTCTTCTCGATAGATAATTGGCGATACGCATTAGACAACAGTATCATAAAGCCCTATGACCGTCAGCTGCGGCACAGTGGGGGGGATGAGTAATTGTAACCCCCCACGCTTGAAGAAAAAAAAAATAAATTCACTCATTTCCTCTCGGCTAAAAGTTTATCAAGTTATAGCTAACCCAATACCTCAACCAAAAAAAAAAGTCAGCTGGTTATAACATAGTGCATTGTACGTCAGCTGATGGCTAGATCATGGGAAAAAAATTTTCGCTTTCAGTGATATCCTCTCGGTTAAAAATTTACCAGATGATAGCTTATATGTAACAATTGATAAATATATACGTCAGCTGGCTGTATCTCGGTGGAAAAATCGTCAGCTGATACTTTGAAGGTCGTTACGTAGAAGTTAGCCAGAAGCATTTACTGACTATTTAAAGGCATCAGCTGACCAGGTTTTCTTCGACTTATTGCTAGCTGATTTTTTTTATTCATCACAATATTATATTTAAAATCAGCTCA